CTTATGGAGAACCTCTGTGAGGGCAGTGTGGAAGGGGAAAGGTGGGGTCAGAGCCCCCACACAGAGTCCCTACTGGGGCACCGCCTAGTGGAGCTGTGAGAAGAAGGCCACCATCCTCCAGACCCCAGAATGGTAGATCCGCCAACAGCTTACACTGTGCTCCTAGAAAAGCCCCAGACACTCAACACCAGCCTATGAAAGCAGCCAGGAGGGAGGCTTTAACCTGCAAAGCCACAAGGACAGAGCTGCCCAAGACTGTGTGAACCCACCTTTTGCATCAGCGTGACCTGGATGTGAGACCTGGAGTCAAAGGAGATCATTTTGGAGCTTTAAAATTCGATTGCCTCACTGGATTTTGGACTTGCAAGGGCCCTGTAACCCCTTTGTTTTGGCCAATTTCTCCCATTTGAAATGTCTGTATTTCCCAATACTTGTACCCCCATTGTATCTAGGAAGTAACTAGCCTGCTTTTGATTTTACAGGCTCATAGGTTGAAGGGACTTGCCTTGTCTCAGATGAGATTTTGGACGCTAGACTTTTGGGTTAATGTTGAAATGAGTTAAGACTTTGGGGGAGTATTGGGAAGGCATGATTGGTTTTGAAATGTGAGGACATGAAGTTTGGAGAGGCAAGGAGCAGAATGATATGGTTTGGCTGTGTCCCCACTCAAATCTCAACTTGAATTGTATCTCCCAGAATTCCAGTGGGTTGTGGGAGGGGTCCGGGGAGGGTAATTGAATCATGGGGGCTGGTCTTTCCCATGCTGTTCTTGTGATAGTGAATAAGTCTCACAAGATCTGATGGGTTTATCAGGGGTTTCCGCTTTTGCTTCTTCCTCATTTTCTCTTGCCACCACCATGTAAGAAGTGCCTTTTACCTCCCACCATGACTCTGAGGGGCCTTCTCAGCCATGTGGAGCTGTAAGTCCAGTTAAATCTCTTTTTCTTCCCAATCTTGGGCATGTCTTCATCAGCAGCATGAAAATGGACTAATATACTACTCCTGCTAATTTTTAGTTTCTATTGGCATGGAATAACTTTTTCCATTGCCTTATTTTCAGCCTGTGTGTATGTTTATAGGTAAAGTTTGTTTCTTGTAGGTAACAGATCATGGATTTTGTTTTTTTAATTCATTAAGCCACTCTATGTCTTTTGATTAGAAAGTTTAGTTCATTTACATTCCATGCCATTATTGATAAGTAAGGACTTACTCTTGCCACTTTGTTAGTTGTTTTCTGGTTCATTTGTGATCTTCTTTTCTTTCTTTCTTTCTCGTCTTCCTCTTAGTGAAGGTGATTTTCTCTAGTGGTATTTTAAAATTTATTTCTTTTTATTTTTTTGTGTGTCTGTTATTTTTTTTTAATTTGGGGTTACATTGAGGCTTGCAAATAATATTTTATAACCTATTATTTTTAAACTGATGACACTGATTGCATAAACAAGCAAACAAACTCATAAACCAGCAAAGAGAAAAGTAATAAAAACTGTACACTTTCATTCTGTTCCCTTGCTTTTTAACTTTTTGTTGTTTGTATTTATATCTTATTGTATTGTCTATGTCTTGGAATGTAGTATTCTTTTAAATTGGTTCATCTTTTAGTCTTTCTATTGAAGATATGAATAGTTTACACACGACAATTACAGGGTTATAATATTCTGTCTTTATTGTGTACTTACTAATGAGTTTTCTACCTTCAGATGATTGCTTATTGCTCATTAATGTCTTTTCTTTCAATTTGAAGAACTCTCTTTTGCATTTCTTGTAGGCAGGTCTGTTGTTGATGAAATCCTTCAGCTTTTGTTTTTTTCTGGGGATATCTTTATTTTTCCTTCTTGTTTGAAGTTTATTTTTGCTGGATAATACTATTCTAGGATAAAAAGGTTTTTCCTTTAGCAGTTTAAATATGTCAGACTGACTGCACATAGTGGCTCATGCCTATAATCCCAGCACTTTGGGAGGCCAAGATGGGAGGATTGCTTGAGGCCAGAAGTTCGAGACCAACCTGGGCAACATTAGGGAGACCCAATCTCTACAAAAATAAGAATAAAAAATTAGCTGGGTATGGTGACATGTGCCTGTGGTTCCAGCTATGCTGGAGGTTGAGACAAGAAGATCACCTGAGCCAAGGACGTTGAGGTGGTAGTGAGCTGTCATGACAGTGAACTCCAGCCTGGGCAACTGAGATCCCCATCTTAAAAAAAAAAAGTAAAAAGAAATAAGTAAATAAATATGTCATACCACTCTCTCCTAGCCTATAAAGTTTGCACTGAGAAGTCTGCTACCAGACATATTGGAGCATCTTTGTATGCTATTTGTTTCTTTTCTCTTGCTGCTTTCAGGATCCTTTCTTTATCCTTGATCTGTGAGGGTTTGATTGTTAAGTGCCTTGAGGTATTCTTCTTTGGGTTAAATCTGTTTGGTATTGTATGACCTTCTTGTACTGAATATTGGTATCTTACTCTAGATTTGGGAACTTTTCTGTTAGTATCCCTTTGAATAAACTTTGTACTCCTATCTCTCTCTCTACCTCCTCTTTAAGGTCAGTAACTCTTAGATTTGCTGTTTTGAGGCTATTTTCCAGAATTTTTAGGTGTGTTCAGTCTTTTTTATTCTTTTTTCTTTCGTCTCTTCTGTATTTTTAAATAATCTGTCTTCAAGCTCACTAATTCTTTCTTCTGCTTGATTAATTCTGCTGTTTTTTTTTTTTTTTTTTATGCATTCTTCAGTTGCATTTTTCAGCTCCAGAATTTGATTTTTTTTTTTTTTTTTTTTTTTAGTTATTTCACTCTCTTTGTTAAATTTATCTGACAGGATTCTGAATTCCTTCTGTGTATTCTTGAATTTCTTTGAGTTTCCTCATAATAGCTTTTTTTTTTTTTTTTTTTTCAATGGTGCAATCTTGGCTCACTGCAGTCTCCATCTCCCAGGCTCAAGTGATCCTCCTGCCTCAGCCTTCCAAGTAGCTGGGACTACAGGCACATGCCATTGCACCCAGCTAATTTTTTTATTTTTTGTAAAGATGAGGTTTTGCCATGTTGCCCAGGCTGGTTTTGAACTCCTTAGCTCAAGTGATCCACCTGTCCCTTGGCCTCATAAAGTGCTAGGATTATAGGCATAAGCCATTGTGCCTGGCCAAAAATAGCTATTTTGAATTTTCTGTCTCTAAGGTTGTATATTTCTGTCTCTCTAGAATTGGTCACTTATTATATCTTATTAGTTGGTTTGGTGAGGTCATTTTTTCTTCGATGGTCTTGACGCTTGTGTGGTTAGATGTTTGTTGTAGTCTTCACAGTCTGGGCATCTTTGTACCTGTCCTTCTTGGGAAGGTTTTCCAAGTATTTGAGGAGAATTGGGTGTTGTGATCTAAGTCTTTGGTCACTGCAGCTGTATCTGCATTCGGGGGCACCCTAAGCCCAGTAATGCCACAGCTGCTGTAGACTTGTAGAGGTGACCGCCTTGGTGGTCTTGGGTCAGATCTGGGAGAATTCTCTGGATTACCAGGCAGAGACTCTTGTTCTCTTCCCTAACTTTCTCCCAAATAAATGGAGTCTCTCTCTCTCTTTGCTGAGCTGCTTGGAGCCAGGAGGTGGTGACACAGCACCCCTGTGGCCTTTAATACTGGGACTGGTCTGGGGCAGGCCTGAAGCCAGCACAGCACTGGGTCTTGCCCAAGGTCCACATGGTGACCACTTGCCTGTCTACCACCTATGTTTACTCAAAGCCCAAGGGCAAATTCAGCCAGGCTTATGTCCTTCCTTTTAGGGCAGCAAGTTACCCCTGGCTCTGGGCAGATCTGGAGATGCTGTCAGGGCCTGGCATTGAGAACCTTAGGAATCTACCTGTCGCTGTGTTCTATGGCAGCTGAGCTCGCACCCAAACCAAAAGACAAACTCCCCACTCCTCTCTCCCATTTCCTCAAGCAGAGGAATCTCTCCCCATGGCCACCACTGCCCCAGGCCTGCAGCAAGTACTGCACGGCTGTCGCTGATATTCACTCAAGGTCCAAGGACTCTTTGGTTAGCTTGTGGTTAATGCTGATAGGCCTGGGTATCTCCTTTCAGGGCAATGTGCTCCCCTCTGGCCCGGGGTGGGTCCAGAAATACCATCCAGGAGCCATGGCCTAGAATTAGGGACCTCAAGAGCACACTTGGTGCTCTACCCCACTGTGGTTGAGCTCGTACCCTGCCTATAAGACAGGGTTCCCTTTACTCTTCCCTCTTTTCCTCAAGCAGAAAGAGTCTCTCCCTGTAGCCACCACAGCTAGGAATATACTGGGTCACTCCTGAGGCCAGTATGGCTCTGAGTCTCACCCAAGACCCACAGTGAGTACTGCCTGGCTACCACTGTTTGAGCCCAAGGGCTTTTTGGTCAGCAGGTGATGACTCCTGCTGGGACTGGATCCTTCCCTTCAAATGTGCTGATTGCATTTTGGTCCAAGGTGTGTCTAGAAATGTCGTCCATAAGTTAGGTCCTGGAATGGGGGCTTCAGGACTGTGGTCCCTTGTTCTACTCTGGCTGAGCTGGTCCTTTTTACTCTTCTGTCTCTTCCTGGGCTGTGAGCAACACTGCCTGGCTTTGCAGTAGGGGTGGCACAAGCACTCCCTGGCCACTCAGCTGGTGTCTCAGTAGGTCATGTGCACCCTAAGTCTGCTGGGCTAGTGGAGTGGCAGTAACAGACGATAGAAGGTAGGAGTTGCATTGTGTTTGAGAAGATGTGGAGAGGACTATGAACCTACTTTTGTGCAACACTGAAAAGTATATGCTTCCTTTCAGTTAATTGACCTGAGTCTTTGAAGAAGAGACTCACATTCTGAGTCTGTGATTGAATATTTTGTCATTCTACACCCTTACTTAGCAAGCTAAAGTCCTGAAAAATATGATTCTTGAATTTTCTTGATTTAAAAAAAAATATAGCGTATTCCTTAGAAGAAAAAAAAATCATGAAAGGTGTTATTTTAAAAAAACTAATCTTCTTTTCCTTTTTTTTTAAAAAAAAATAGGATTAAAAGAGTAAAATTAATATCTAACAAAGGGACTGAAACTGACAATGACCCAAGTTGTGTCCGTCCTATCATTAAGAAGAGACAATGTCGACCAGAGATTAGAATGTGGCAAACAAGAGAGAAAGCAAAATTTTCAGATGGAGAAAAGTGCCGTAGGGTAAGATTTAGATGGATTTAACAAGCCTTTTTTTCCTCATGTAACATTTTCCTGTTAAGACTCTGTTAGAGATATAAAATAGATACTAGTAGGTTTGTAAATTTGTCCTAACAAGTAAAACCACAGGATATGAAAAGAAGCTCTCACATGAAGACTGGAACTTAGTCTTAAAATTTCTAGTACTAGACTTGTTATTAATTTTGCGAGTTATCCAGCCTTAGCAGTAGGCTAGTAGATTTAATAAACAGATTAGTGAAGAGGGTGCTGTGTCATATTCCAGAGAAGCAGTGATAGTATAGTAAGAGTTTGGGAAATTATTTTATAGGTTTAGGTAGAGATGGTCTGCTGTATGTCTAAAACTAGCTATATGCTTTTACTTTATAGTTTTAAACTGTTTTCTTGTTGGTTAGATCGTGGCATTTAGTCTAATAATTATTGAGCCATTACTATAACCAGGCATTGTTCTAAGTACTTTACGTATACTAACTTATCTCATTTATTTTCAACAAACCTGTGAAATAGATGCTTTTATTATCATTTCTTTTCAGATGAGGAAACTCAGCTCCAGACAGATTTAGTAAATTGCTCAAGGTTATGTGTCTAGTAAGTAGAAGAGTTGTGATTCAGGCTTAGAGTTTGACTTGAGTCTTGGTTTTTGAATACTCCGTAACACTGCCTCTTCATTTAGCATATTTAGTTTCAAGTTAATATTTTTCTTAATTGAGATTAAATAATACATGGATTTTTTTTGTTTTGGGTTAGTTTACTTTTGCTGCTTGGTAGTGTTTGTATGATTTTTTTGTTTTTACACATGCAGCTTATTAGAATATTTTGGGCTGTCCCCTGTGAAGATATTGCTGTTCTCTTTGTAGGAGGCTTTTAGGCGTTTGGGTAATGGGGTGTCTGATGACCTGTCAAGTGAGGAAGATGGTGAAGCACGGACACAGATGATATTATTGCGTAGGAGTGTGGAAGGGGCCTCAAGTGACAATGGTTGTGAAGTTAAGAATAGAAAATCAATACTTTCAAGGCACCTAAACTCTCAGGTAATTTCTGTTTTAGTTTATGAAAGTATAGGACTAAATCATTGAAGTTAGTAACAAAGCATTTAACATATCTTCCTATTATTTGTTGGTTTGATTTTTGGCAGGTAAAGAAAACCACTACAAGGTGGTGTCATATTGTGCGGGATTCAGATAGTCTAGCTGAATCAGAATTTGAATCAGCAGCCTTTAGCCAGGTAAAGTATCCCTTTGAGAAATCAAGGTATATTTTTGAGTGTAATAACTTTATCCATTCCTTTTTTTATTGGTTGCCCTAAAGTTGCGTTTACATTAATATTTGCCAACCCTTTCCTTGTCTCCAATTATCTATCTCCTTATCTGGCAGCTTTTAATGGCTACATACCTAGAAATAATATTTTTCTTTTTTTTTTTTTGAGACGGAGTCTTGCTCTGTCTCCCAGGCTGGAGTGTAGTGGCTGGATCTCAGCTCACTGCAAGCTCCGCCTCCCGGGTTCACGCCATTCTCCTGCCTCAGCCTCCCGAGTAGCTGGGACTACAGACGCCCGCCACCTCGCCCGGCTAGTTTTTTGTGTTTTTAGTAGAGACAGGGTTTCACCGTGTTAGCCAGGATGGTCTCGATCTCCTGACCGCGTGATCCGCCCATCTCGGCCTCCCAAAGTGCTGAGATTACAGGTTTGAGCCACCGTGCCCAGCCGAAAGAATATTTTTCTACGTTGACCCTGAGCTTAAAAGTATCACAGATGATGCCCAGAAAGAGGTTACTTAATCCCTGAATAATGAGATTATTAAATATTCACTTGGAATATGAGGTTTATTTTTAAACATCATAAATTGGATTGACACTGATGAAGACAGATTTTTGAGAAAGGAGTTCTGAAAAGATGGGAGTAGTAAATCTCATCATGAGAGCTAAAGGGCATATTATATTATTTGGAAAATTGTAAGTCAGAGGTGAGCAGAGTAGATGGTGGTGGTGTGGTTTTTCTTTTGTTTTGATTAACAAGGCAATTGTGATCATGGAATAACTTTCATATTTATGTTTTTACTTTTCTTTGCCTGATTATCCTTTAACATTTTGGAGCTGAGTAGGTCTGTAGTGAAGTTCACAATATTTAGAGTTGGGGACATTTTGTGTGTGTCAAAAAGCTCAGCTAAGCCAATTGAGTTGGTCATCTTGGTGTGCTTATAGGAATCACTCCCTTCCCAGAACACCTTAGTTGAACAGTTCTGTAACTTGGCAATAGCTTCTTAGAGGGAGTCCTGCTTGCTAGAGACATCAGAGTTTCACATTTAAATACTAAAATCTATTATTGGCCAGACATGGTAGCTCACGCCTGTAACCTCAACACTTTGAGAGGTTGAGGTGGGTGGATAGCTTGAGACCATATATATATATATATGTGTGTGTGTGTGTGTGTGTGTGTGTGTGTGTGTAAAAAAAATATATATATATATATGTGTGTGTGTGTGTGTGTGTGTGTGTGTGTGTGTATGTGTACCCGGGTGTGATGGTATGCACCTGTAGTGCCAGCTACTCAGGAGGCTGAGGCAGGAGGATCGCTTGAGCCCAAGAGTTTGAGGTTGCAGTGGGCTATGATAATGCCACTGCACTCCAGCCTGGGTGACAGAGTGTGACCCTGTATCAAAAAATAAGAAAGCATTATTGTTATGTGAAGCCCTGTGAAAAAATGAATTCATGGTGATTGACTTTTGAAGGCTTTCAATCCATTGCTGTAGATAACTTGTTTTAATTTTATTTCACATATAATTATTTTTAAAGATGAAGAAAATTTTTTCCTTTTTGTTTTCCTTTAAAGGGCTCTAGATCTGGTGTGAGTGGTGGCTCTCGAAGCCTCAACATGTCAAGAAGAGACTCAGAAAGCACCCGCCATGACTCGGAGACTGAGGATATGTTATGGGACGACCTGCTACATGGCCCGGAGTGCCGGTCATCTGTCACCAGTGACAGTGAGGGGGTTCATGTGAATACCCTTCACTCAGGGACCAAACGTGACCCCAAAGAGGATGTTTTTCAGCAGGTCTGTGCAGGCATAATAAGAATAGCTAGTATTTATTGTGTTCTTACTGTGTGTCAGGCATTCTGTTATCTCATTTAACTTTACAATAATCCTGTAGGGTAGATACTATTATTATCCCCAGTTTAGAGATGAGGAAATTGAGCATAGCCTGTAAGTGAAGATGTTGGGATTAGAATTCAGGGAGAAGTAATCTAGGGTTACCCTAACCTAAATTTTTTTTATATTACTTTTTCTTATTATTTTCCTTAGAATGGTCCTTAACGTGTATTTTGTATTTTGTATGAGTAAAGTTTGTATACAGAAAATATACCTTATATTTTCATGAACATCACAGTGTTACATATGAATTACTAGGAAATGGTACTGCTTGCTTTTTGAATAGTGCATAAAATAAATAATGCTTTTAATTTCAGGTTTTATATTAATGTCATAAAATCAGTCATTAGAAGGTATTTCAACCTTCCAACCAATGTAGAGATTCATTCTATATCTGTGTAAATTTTTTACCATCTGTTGTGTGGTGATAATAGTTCCTACTTCTTAGGAATAGTGTGAAATAGCTAATAAGATAAAGTACATAGCATAATACCTGGCAAGAGTAAATACCCAATAAATGTTAGCATTATTATTAATGTCTCCATCAGATGATCAGTTGGCCTCTTCTTAAATACTTCTGGAGCTGGAGTGCTTGTTATTTAATGATACAGCTTATCCCACTTCTGGATAGATTGAATGATGAAGAAATAGTTCTCATATCAACCTTTCAGTTGCTTAATGTCAATGATTGTTATGATTCTTAGGTTTTTGTTCTTTAGGCTAAATATTTCCACATTGACTTGCAAATAGTGAATGATGGATACATATTTGCTTAATTATCAAATTTTCTTGATTCAAAGATACCATTGATTTAGATGATATATTTTCATTTAAAAAGTCACTTCATTAAATGTATATAATTTTTAAAAAGTGAACCAGAAACAATGTAAATTTTCTCATTAAAGTTTTTTTTTTTTTTTTGAGACAGAGCTCACTCTGTTGCCCAGGCTGGAGTGCAGTGGTGCAATCATGACTCACTGTAGCCTTAACCTCCCCAGCTCAAGTGATCCTCCCACCTCAGCCTCCTGATTAGCCACCATGCTTGGCTAATTTTTAAATTTTTTGTAGAGATAGGGTCGCACTATCTTGCTTAGGCTGGTCTTGAACTTCTGGGTTCAAACAGTCCTCCTACCTTAGCCTCACAAAGTGTTGGGATTACAGGGGTGAGCCACCATACCTGGCTCTCATTAAAATTTTATGCTACTTTTTCTGATTTTGCAGTGAGGCTAAATATTTTTTGCATTCAGTCTGAAGATTCATCTAAATTACATTGCTTTCAGTAGTTATGCATAGCATCATGATGATCTTGATCTCTTTAGCACTCCCCTCCTTTGAGATTTGCAGTATAATTTTAAGACATATATAAGAATAATTGAGTGTGGTAAACTCACCATGTCAAATGCAATAAATCATTTTCCAATCCTGTTCACCTAGCCTATTATTCTTTTATTCCCTGTGTTTCTTAATACTATACTACCCACCCAAGTTAAAAAGCTTGGAGTCATTCTTGACCCCCCGCCTTTTTTTTTTAGATGAAGTCTTACTCTGTCACCCGGGCTGGAAGTACAGTAGCACAATTTCAGCTCACTGTAACCTCCGCCTTCCAGGCTCAAGTGATTCTCCTGCCTCAGCCTCCTGAGTAGCTAGGATTACAGGCGCCTGCTGCCCACCACCACACCTGACTAATTTTTGTATTTTTAGTAGAGATGGGGTTTTGCCATGTTGGCCAGGCTGGACTCAAACTCCTGACCTCAAGTGATCCACTCGCGTCGGCCTCTGAAAGTGCTGGGACTACAGGCATGAGCCGCCATGCCCAGCTGGCCCCATTCTTTCCACCCTTAATCGCTTATATTCTTTTGATTCAGCTGTCTAAATACCTGCATCTCTGTGGTCACCCTGCTTGGTGCAGGCCATCATCTTATCTCAACTGGATAAGATAAGAAGCTATTACAGTAACTTCTGTAGGGTTGCCTCTGTTCCTTTCATTTTCCTTGCTACAGCCAGAGTGATACTTCTAAAATACAAATCTGATAATGCCACTTCCTTTAAAATCCTTTTTTCTTCTTTCTGGATTGCTTGCTTCTGTTCCTTTATTTGTTCTAATACAGTTTTATCTCTGACCATTCTGTCCCTGCTCCTCACATGGTGAACTTGACTCGACTAACCTTCTTTGTTGCTGATATGTAACCAGGCCTCATGCGCCTCTGGGCCCGTATGCATACAGGTTTCTTTGCCTGGGACATAATTTTCTCTAATGCCCATTCTTTTGGTTCATTCCTTTTTATTTCCAGGCAGGTCTTGGCCTGAGTGATGCTTCCTTCAGGAAGCCTTTCCTATATACTCCTAAAGCACTCTTGCTTTTCCTTACCTTGCTGTATAGTAACTTCCTTCAGAAGTCTATAAACTCCTTGATAGCAAGGACATCTATCTTGTTCTCCATTTTATCCACAGGCATGATACATAGTAGGTGCTTAGTAAATATGAGTTGTATAAGTCAGTGAATCAGTCAAATCAGTGATTCAAATCAATAAATGCTTGTTGGCATTATGCTAAGCGTTTTGGTAGAAAGAGAAAAAATATGCCAGATGGTCCTTTTCTAGAAGGTTATATTTTAGTTTGGGAACAAGATAATTATATAGGAAATAAGTAGAGGACAACATAAAAGCACCATATAATAAGATGCTAATTTGTCTGATACAGACTGTAAAAGTTTTTCATTTCAGAGAAGGGCAAAGTTAGTAAGGCTGAGGCTGTCAGAGAGGACCATGGTGGTGAAATGGGACTTGAGCTGGTATTTAAAGAATGAGACATGATATGGCAGAGGAGGAGAGGGAGCTGTTTTCATTGTGACTGTCTCCACTTGAGCTTTTCTAAGCCTCACTAATTCTCTGTGTCCTGGTTAGACCAGAAACAGACTTAACTCCTCAGTCATTCATGTGATGTATAAGGCCTTTTAGTATCTTCCTTTACTTCCTATTACTCCCAGTGTAATCTCGTAGCTCTAGAAATTCTTTCTTAATAGCCCTTGACTACACTAAGCTTATCCTCACTTCCATACCTTTAGAGAGGGAAGCAACCTTGGAGATCATGGACTGCTATCTCTCCTCATAACAGAAGACATTTAGTCTCTCCCTAGGTAAGAGAATGGCTTAGTGAAGAAAAATGGCCCTAGTGGGCCATGGTGGTATGTGATTGTGGTCCTTGCTACGCAGAAGGCTGTGTAGAGGGAGGCAGATGGGAGGAAAAAAAAAAAAAAAAAATTTAAAAAAAATCTGGGCAACATAGTGACACCCTGTCTCAAAAAAAAAAAAAAAAAAGAGAAAAAAAGGACCAGCATTATAGAAGCCGTTATTAGAGTGTTGGCAAATGAATGGAGCCTGGGAAAGAAAAACTAATGGAGGCAATAAAGCATGGATAGAAACAATTTTATATTTTTCTTCTCAGAATCATTTGTTCTGGCTTCAGAATTCAAGTCCCTCCTCTGATCGAGTTAGTGCAATAATCTGGGAGGGGAATGAGTGCAAAAAGATGGATATGTCTGTGTTGGAAATAAGTGGCATCATCATGAGCAGGGTAAGATTGAATATGTTTCCAGATTTTTCAAAAAATATACTAAGTGATCAGAAGCTATTTTATAAGAATCTCTTAGTGATTAAAACAGTATGACTCTGCTTTTGAAGCACATATATAGATCATCTATATTATATGTAATATATTATTAACATATATATGTAATTTTGTAGTCAGAGTCTTTACATGGTAGTATATATATTATTTGTTATACCTGGTCTCTGTTAGCATAGTCAACTGTTCAGGTATGCTCTACAGGTATTCCTATCTCATTAAATCCCAATTTTTAATAAGATTTAAAAGTCATAAATCTGTATGTCATTTGTATTTATACTTTTAGAATGTGTTTTTAATAGTCTGAATAGTGTTTGATAAATACTGCTTTGTAACTCCATTTAGCTACACAATAATGATAGAAATTGTAAATAATTCACAGGTCAATGCCTATCAGCAAGGAGTAGGTTATCAGATGCTGGGAAATGTTGTCACTATTGGATTAGCATTTTTTCCATTCTTACATCGACTTTTCCGTGAGAAGAGCCTTGACCAGCTAAAGTCCATTTCAGCTGAGGAGATCTTGACTCTCTTTTGTGGGGCACCACCTGTTACACCTATTATTGTTTTGTCCATAATTAATTTTTTTGAAAGATTGTGTCTTACTTGGATGTTTTTTTTCATGATGTGTGTGGCAGAGAGAACATATAAACAGGTCAGTGGAGAAATAAGTAAAATTTTTTACCTCTGTTTTTGTATATGATATTCCATTGAGTTGTTTTTGTTCTCTTGATTTGGTCTCTCTTCAAGTTGATGTGGGCAATAACGGATTGATAAGTGGACTTTTGATATTTGTGGATTTATTGTTTGTGTTATTGACTGTTCACGTATTACACAGTGTAATCTGAAATTTTGCCAGGCCCCACGTGTAGAATAAGTGGCTTAGCCAGTGAGTGAGCCTAGCCGACTGCTTAGCTTCTGTACCTCAGTGTCCCTTTTTTGTTTTTTATCCATAGAATAAAATAATTATCTACATGTGATAATGTTTTTGTGAAAAATGGCCAAGTGAGAAATACGTGAATTGAAATTTGATAAAAATTATGTTTTTTTGGTTTAAAATATTGGTGATATGCAGAAGAAGTGTGATTTATTTTATTTTATTTTTTTGAGACAGGGTCTCGCTCTGTTGCCCAGGTTGGAGTGCAGTGGTGTGATCACGGCTCACTCCAGCCTTGACCTCCTGAGGATCAAGCAGTCCTTCCAGCTCAGCCTCCCCAGTAGCGGGGACTATAGGCCTGCGCCACCACACCCGACTAATTTTTTGTATTTTTGTAGAAGTGAGGTCTTACTTTGTTGCCCAGGCTTGTCTTGAACTCCAGGGCTCAAGTGATTCCCCTGTCTGTCCTCCCTAAGTGCTGGGATTACAGGCCATGAGCCACCATGCCCAGCCCCAGAAATGTGATTTTGAATAGAAATTTAATTTGGGAATAAGGCAGAATGATGTATAAACATTTGAGTTTGTGAAGTAGTGGATCCACAAATGCTAACCATTCTTTGGGGGTCTCCAAAGAATATTCCTTGCAAATGTTGAGTGTACCACATTGTGAAGAAGTATATTACTATGTAGTGTGCTTTGGAAACAACAGGGTAATGAGCTATTAATGAAAATTTTCACTGCCCATCTTAGTGATCACTGATTAGAACTTCATTCTTTTTAACATTTTTGTATTCTTTTTTTTTTATTGGCAATTATGTGAATACACAGACACATACATACATTTCACTGTGATTTTTTTTTAAACCTCTTCTAGAGATTTTTATTTGCAAAACTCTTCAGCCATATTACTTCTGCCAGGAAAGCTAGGAAATATGAAATACCTCATTTCAGACTTAAGAAAGTGGAGAATATTAAAATATGGTTATCACTGCGTTCCTATCTAAAGGTGAGTTTTATTTGATTAACAATAGAGTATATGCAAGAATATGCTCACTGAAGCTCCTGGCAGCAGTTACTCAGTAGACAGTGTAGTTCTGGGTGTCAGGCAGATCATATCAGCAGCCGACAAACTTGCTGGACAGCAAGTTGGATGTCATCTCTCTGCAAAGCTGGTAGGGGTAGGTAAAGAAGAGCTTAGAAAGGGAAAAGAAAATCTAAATTTCCTAGGGGCAAAGTGATAATTAAATAGTGTATATTTTTCTGACTTTTTGGGGAAATATTCCAGCTTTTTTGGGAAATATTCCAGCTTTTTTGGGAAATATTCCAGTATGTTAATGAATCAGTCACCCTTAATTTGAAAATGCATGGATTTCAGTACTTAAAGTTGATGACTTTATGTACTGAATATGTTAAAATCCTATCTCAGAAACTTCTTATAAACATTTTCACACGAATGTAGTACAATTCAGAGTGTTAATGATGTGAGGGCGGTTGCTGTCTGCCAGTAATCTAAAACATTAACACGTGTCTCACTCCACAGAGACGGGGGCCACAGCGTTCAGTGGATGTGGTTGTATCCTCAGTCTTCCTACTGACACTTTCGATTGCTTTCATTTGTTGTGCTCAGGTAAAAGTTTCACATCTGCTTTAAGGAAAAATGAAAATTCTAATATAGGATTCACTTTCTGTTTTAGACTTAGGTCACTGTCTTTAAGTATGTATTTTTAGTACATCTACATTTTTTACTAGTTTGGATATTTGGTAATTTTTCTAACTTTTCAAAATGGGAATACAAGTAATTTTGAAGTCCTTTCAAACTGTAAGATCAGTCTAATTTTAGTTGGTAATTATTAATTGATATAAAACTATCGTATGATTGTAAAATACTGATTTTCCAACTACATTATTCCTTCTGTATTTATTAGTTGTCACTCCAAGGTAGATCTTTCATTTCTTTCCCTCTCATTTATTCATTCATTTATTTATTTTACTGTGGAATCATGTATTCTCATTTTTATACAGTGGGTTAAAATCTGTTACTATAGGCTGAGCATAGTAGCTTAACACCTGTAATCCCAGCACTTTGGGAGGCTAATGTGGGAGGATTGTGTGAGGCCAGGAGTTGAAGACCAACCTGGGCCACATAATGAGGACCCATCTCTACAAAAAAAAAAAAAAATCTGTTACTATATTTGCTTTGATGCCTACGTTGTCCCAAATTTGGCCAGTGGGAGCCCCTAGAAACCCCCTCCTTTATCCTTTTGATAGGGTCTCCTTTTTGTAAAGCACTTCTGTGCTTTCTGCATTAAAAGAAGTTACAGGTTTATCTTATACTTTTGCATTTATTGAATTTTAATGTAATTCTACTGTGGTCAAAGCATACTCTGAATATTTTCAGTCCTGTTAAATATGTAGAGGTTTACTTTATTATCCAGCATATATTCAGTTTCATTAAATTTTCCATTAGCACATTGACAAGATTTATATTCTGTCATTGTTGAGAGCAGTGTCCTATATGTATCAAATTACCTACATCCTTACTGAATTTTTTGGTCTGCTTATTCTGTCAGTCATTGGTAGAGGTGTGTTCAAGTCTGATTGTGGATTTGTCTATGTGTCCTCTTCTGTCGATTTTTGCTTTATGTGTAATGGGGTACAACCAGATTTAGTTTTGTTATCCATCTTTTTGGGCAATTGACTTTTATGTCCTTTATAGTGATTTATTTTTTTTTTTCTGAGTCCAGGATCCAATTCAGAATTACATATTGCATTTAATTGTCATGTGTCTAGTCTCCTTTAATCTGGAAAAATGTCAGGCTTGGCCTTTCATGACCCTACAAAATGTCTCTCTCTGTAATGTTTCTTATTGATTTGATGTTAATTTCATTGCACCAGCTGTCTTGATTCATTTCTACATGTTATATCTTTGTCTACCTGTTTTTATTCTTTTGTTCTTATATTTTAGTTGTGTCTCTCATAATCAGCATGTCCTCTTATGGTTGCTTGGTGTTCGTTTGTTCGTTCTTCTTCTTCTTTTTTTTTTTTTTGGTAGCTGGGACTACAGGCACATGCTACCTAGCCTGGTTAGTTTTTAATTTTTTGTAGAAGTGGAGTCTGGATTTGTTCCCCAGGCTGGCCTTGAACTCCTGACTTCAAGGGATCCTCCTGCTTCTGCCTCCAAGAGTGCTGGGATTATAGGCATGAGACACTGTGCCCAGTTGCTTGCTTGTTTTTTAATCCATCCTCACAGTCTTAGATTTTGGAGTGTCTAGCCCATTTAAACTTATTGTTATTACTATAACCACAAATATATTTGGTTCTTACTTTTGCTACCTGCTAATTTTCCTTTTTCACTCCTCTTACCATCTTTTTATTAACCAAATATTTTTAAATATTCCACTTAATCCTATTAACTTGTTATATATTCTTTTACTATTGTTTTAAGTAGTAAAGAGATTACAACATGCATGCTTAATTTTTTATAGTCTAATAAAATGATTAATTTATCACTCTCTTGATAATGCTAGACCCTTAGAACAGTTCATCCCATTTACTTTTTCACCTTTTGTATTATTGTCCTTCACCTTAATTTTACATATATTTTAAAACCACAAGATGTAATTATTATTGTTTTGTGTAATTAATCATTTATATTTACTCACATATTTACCTTTTCCATTGCTTTTTATTATTTCCTGAATTTCTGCGTTTCTCTGGGATTATTTTCCTCCTACCTGAGTAACTCCTTTAGTATTTATTTTAGTGACAGTCTGCTGGTGATGAATTCCCTCAGTTTTTGCTTGTTTGAAGATATATTTTATCACTTTCACTTTTGAATATATATATATTTTTTATCAGGAATCGAATTCCAGTTATTTCCTTTCAGCACTTTTTAGGATTCTGTTGCTTTCTGATTTCCACATTTTATCTTGAGAAGTCTGCTGCTAGGGTGCCATGACAAGCCAAAGCTAATATGAGTCAAACTCAGTGGGGAGGCAGAAAACAAAGGTCTTGTAAGGCAATGGAGCTGGCTAAGAGGAGTGGAGATGGGAGCCTACGTAGCCCTGGGGGAAGCGAGATGCAGAGGGCAGCTGCTTGGTGACTTCCTGTTTTTCACAAGGTTTCTGTGAGCATTATCTGTATGTTTTTCAGTAAATTCCATCTTACTTTGGGCTTGTTTGAGTAAGTTTCTTTACTTTTAAATCAACAAATTTAAAAACAAAAACAAAAACCTTTTACCAGAAAATTTGACGCATAGTTCCTGCTGCTATTGTTATTTGGAGCCTAAAACAGAATAAAGAACTGATCGTTAGGACTTTCTAGTCATACCAGTGGGATGAGCCACATGTTTTAGGGAGCTCACTTGACATAATGCAAAGTTATTACTTTGAGTAATGGTTGCCATATCGTTGTGAGTGGACACACTGATAGTTAAAGTAGTTGCAAATGCATTTGTCTTATTTTATTTGTGGTATTTTCCTTCTTTGTTACTTCTAGACCCTTGCTAAAGGAGAAAATCTAGGAAACTTAAATATATGATGATTAAATAAATAGGTAATACTCTGGGTATTAAAGCTCTTCTGCTTTGAGTATTAAAATACTGGATTTTTGGAAATGTTCTTAAATTGACAGAGTAAAAGTAATGATATGATTTTAAGGTAAATGAAAAACTAAACTTTTTTTGATCCTTTATATAGGTTCTCCAAGGACACAAAACTTTCCTGAATGATGCTTATAACTGGGAGTTTTTGATCTGGGAAACAGCTTTACTACTTTTCTTATTGCGTCTGGCCTCATTGGGGTCTGAAACCAATAAGAAATACAGCAATGTTTCGATATTACTTACAGAACAGGTATTGATCAGTCCTGTCAATTGGGTTTAGTGGTTAGGGGTAGCATAATACACTGTAAGGTCCCTGCAGAGGATTCAGGGTTTAATCACTGTCTAGCTATCACATTCTAGCTAAAGGACCTCACAAGTCACTTTGCTGCTCTGTAGTTGCTTATCCCTAATAAAATGGATGTAATATCTCCTCTTGCTCCCAGGATTATGAGAATTAAGATCTAATGGATTGAAAAGACTTTGTACGCTATAGAGAGATTTTTATTGGTGGTAATGGAGCATGCTTTTAATCTCATACTCTATGTCAAATATTAGATCTTTAGAGTACGTGTCATTTAGCATGTATAATAAGCTTCTTGAATTCTTCTGTATCAGACATAGAATACATTATTCAATGTTTGGAAAATACTTGGCTTTCAGTATGTGAATAGATACTAAGATTGAGAAATATCTCTTGTAAATACAGAGTAGTATAAAGTGTTTTTTTTTGTAATTTTGTTTTTAATTTCAAGTTTTTCCATAAACTTTGAATAAAAACATTTATCATTCTTTTTTTTTTTTGTCTTAGAATCATACTGGAGAATTCTTCATACGAGGCAAAATATAAGGAATTAGTAAAGTAACAGGAGCTATCTTCTTCCATGTTTAATGAGGATGTTAGATTATCTAGGGGGATAGTGAGATGAATAAGATATAGGTTTTGAACTCAAGGTGCTTATGTGCTAATTATGTTATATTGCAAGTAATATTAAAATTTTTCATTGTTTTGATATTTAAATTGCTTCATCATTAATAATTTTTTCATCACTAAGTATTTTTTCTTTGCCAGAGTGAGACTGATCAGGGCTGGGGGCTAGAGTATGTGACATATGTTCTCTGTATCAATAGTTACTGGAATTTCAAAATTTATTTTACTTGAAAACATGACCTTTGAAATATGCCAGATTTTATGCAGTATACATATTTTTTTCCTAAGAAATTTACCTTAATTTCTATTCCTTCCCTTAGATTAATTTATATCTTAAGATGGAAAAAAAGCCAAATAAGAAAGAACAGCTTACTCTAGTAAACAATGTATTAAAGCTGTCCACCAAGTTGTTGAAAGTAAGTCATAGGCTGTGATACACTTTTACTATCATTTAAGTTAAATCAGTCTCTTCTCTGAGAAAACATTAAATGGCAGATGATACCTTGGGTTGGGAGGAGTCCTGGAAGTGGACTCTTCCACAGTGGCATCAGGGGTAGGGGTCACAGTGGTGGTTAGGACCAGAGCTGAGGTCACAGAGCTCCTGGAGGCAAGGTTAAGGACAAAGAGTGGCTTCCCATCACCAAGTTGGGCCATCTGGTCAAGGACATGAAGATCAAGCCCCTGGAGGAGATACGCCTCTTCTCCCTGTGCATCAAGGACCAGGTTCAAGGCATTTGTCACCATCGAGGACTACAGTGGCTATGTTGTTCTGGGTGTTAGTGCTCCACGTAGGTAGCCAGCACCCTCCATGGGGCTATAATCATGGTCAAGCTCTTTATCCTCCCTGTGTGAGGAGGCTACTGGGGAAACAAGATTAGCAAGCCCCATACTCACACTGCCCTTGCAAGGTGACTGGCAGCCTGCATCTCTGTCCTGGTGGCCTCATCCCTGCCTCCAGAGGCATTGGTAGCGTCTTAGCCCCTGTGCCCAAGAACCTGCTGCTGATGTTGGATACCCACCATTGCTGCACTTTGGGGACTGCGCTGCTACCCTGACCAATTTTGCCAAGGGCACCTTTGATGCCATCTCCAATACCTACAGCTATTTCAGCCCCAACCTCTGGAAAGAGACATGTTCACCAAGTCTCCCTATCTGGAATTCACTGACTATGGCCTAGAGACCCATACCAGAGTCTCCATGTAGAGGACCCAGGCTCTAGCTGTGGCCACCACGTGGTGGTTTTATACCAGAAAAATAAAGTGAGTTAGCCTGTTTTAAATAAATTAATTAATGTTTTACTTCTCAGAACCCAGTAAGAGATAGATGCTAGGCTGTGTAGATTCAAAATGCTGACCTGATGATTTTGGGTTAATAACTACTATGAAAAAATTTCCAATTTTGTTACCCAGGTTCTGATGATTGCTGAAAAAAAAAATATTTTATATATTTTAAACCACAAATGACATATTGCTCAAATCCACCTAAAAAAAATCTTAGTTAGTAGAAAAGTAGGTGAGAACGCGTTATGGATGTTTTGAAGGTAGCTCTTTGAATATTAAGGAAAGGCAGCCTTAAGCATTCATCTATACCCAAGACAAAACACAGCAAGAAGTCACTGAGTAGCTATGAGAAAACATGTATCTCATTTCAATTCTTTGATGTTTTTTGTAGGAGCTGGACACACCGTTTAGACTCTATGGACTGACAATGAATCCCTTAATCTACAATATCACAAGAGTAGTTATCCTTTCTGCTGTCTCAGGTGTTATAAGTGATCTTCTAGGATTTAATATAAGAGTAAGTATCCCCACCACTCTGTAGCATCTTAGTCTTAAAAATTACTATGTACAGAAATCTGTGTTCTTCACACATGTGTGTGTGTGTGTGTGTGTGTGTGTGTTTCTAGCATGGAAATAACTCTTGAGGTAAAGAAACAGGCATTTTGATTGGTGGTCCACAGGCTTTTCTTTCAAAGCTTTGGTGTTCTCATTTTACACGAGTATAACAGACAGTGCTCTTGAATGGAACAAAAAAAATCAAGTTTGAATTTCACATCAGTTTAATAGCCTGAGCTGGGTAACGGTCTTACTCTTATCCTGGGAAATGTACAGAGGTAGAATGAATGAAAACCAGTTCATGAACTGCATTGTATTATTTTTGATCCTGGAAGTTTTAAATGTTTTTTTCTCTATGATGTTCTATGGTTGCTATTGCCAGACTTGATACCTTTTCTTCTTTTATAAAGGATTCTTTGTTTATAGTCATGTAAGTGTACCTATAAATCCCACCTGGTTTTCCTAGAACTAACTTATTTTGGTGATTTTGTTTTCTTAGTTGTGGAAAATTAAATCATAAGCTGAGTTAAATGCCTGGACTCTCCCCTGACTGGTATCAAAACTTACCTATCAAGGAAAGAGATGACTGCAGAAACCAGTGAGATACCCACCTGCTTGTTCACATGCACAGGTGCTCTCAGCTCTGCCAAAGCGAATGAATGGTGTTTCCAGAGGAACAAGTCCTTTTCCAACTGGGCGTGCATGCTAAAAACCTATATCTTCATGCTTTTCAAACAACACGAATAGTCAGCCGACTAAAGACACTGTGTGTTTTGGTAACACAAGGACAATTTTGTAAGTTAGTAAATTTATTATGTGCACTTCTGTACTGTGACAGTTACGTTTACTGGCCATAGTCTTTTGGGCAACTATGGTAGATGCCCAAAGCATGAAGCAAATGTCTTTTATTGGAAATATGCAAATTCAATATTTTTACATTATAGTCTATAGAATTGGAGATTTCATTTCTCTATCAAAGAGAGATCAAACTATTTTAGGTTAAATCCAAATAAAAGAACTTTACTGGAGACTTTCAGTTTCTAGGTTTTCTTTGTTGTTGAAGGAAGAAAAATAACTTTTAAACTCTGAGTTTCTGTTGAACTGTGGATGAATGTTTTGTTAGTTTACAATTTTGAGTTAATCCTAATGACTGTATAGTTGTTGGTGAACGATGCATGCACACAATATGCCATGTAATTCAGCATGAAAAATTTAAGTATATGCCTACTCATCCATTTCCATCATACAACGTGGTTTCCATGTTCTGTGTGGAAGTCATGGAAGCATGGTTTCCATATAGATCATCTGAGTTGTGGTTCCTAACACAGTGTTCTGTGTCCTATCACAAGCATCATTGATAGTTTATCTGTTGTGCAACTTAATGTATTAAACCCTCAGTACATTTTCAGGTCCTCAGTGTCTATAGTCGACCATGCCATGCCTCTGATGATATAGATTCTGTAATGCAGCATCCTCTTATACACATGCATATACATATGTTAATGAATTTTTTTTTGTCTACTTATAATTCTTGCTCATTAAGTTACCTGCTTTGAAGAATCTCTTTTTTTTTCCTTTTTTTGAGACAGAATTTCGCTGTGTTGCCCAGGCTGGAGTGCAGTGCCACCATTTTGGCTCACTGCAACTTCCACCTCCTGGGTTCAAGTGATTCTCCTGCCTTAGCCTCCTGAGTAGCTGGGATTACAGGTGCCCACCACCACACCTGGCTAATTTTGAAGAATCTCTTGAGGCAAATTGAAAGCTTGAACATTTTAATGATAAGGTTTTGTGAACTTTTAAATAAACATAATTTAGAAACTTGGTTATTACATGTAAAGCATGTATTCATTCAAAATCAGAGTATCAGTTGCATATTTTCTAATAAGCAGGAAGATTTGTGAGTTTTAGAGGTGGATTTCTGAAGAGTCCAGGGATTGAGGTCAGACTTTTCTGAGTTCAAATCTTTGGCCCTGCCACTTATTAGCTCTTTGTATATTAATTTCCTCACTTCTTAACCCATTTATGGGAATAATAACTACAAGTGGGGATAATAACTACATAATAGGGTTGTTAAGATTAAATGAGGTTATCATGTAAGGTACTTGCACAGTGTAAAGTATTTAATACTTAGCAAATCTACAATAAATATGTTACTATTTAAAGTCCTTTAAAAAAAATCTCACTGATAATTCCTGTGAAGACAGAAACATAGAAAGCAAGGTTGCCGAACTAGAAGTTGATTACCAAAAATATGCAACCTTTTATACATGAGTTATAATTTTTTAAATGGTAAAACTCCATTATAGTGATCTACCTTTAGAAGGAAGTGTTCTGTGGAAGCACTTCAGCATCTCAACAGATGGCTCATAGAAACCATGCTTTTACTATTTCCATAGGGAACAGTAGCAGTAATCTCAAATCCAAAATTGAGCTCACTGCAGATTTCAAATGAAAACTGATGCCTTCATCTTTTTCTTCTACAAAAATGCTGTTCTATTTTTATGTACAACTTTTACACAGTGAATTCTTAGTTTAAAAGCAGTGTTTAGAGTATATTAATTCACTTGTGTGGATTGCTTCAGTTGTGGTTTTGATGGTGTATATTGGTTTAAATTATTTTTCAGATGGGTAAAATTATATGTAAGTATAGTTAATCATATCAGTAACTTAGGAATGATTCTTGACTCATTTTTCTTCCTCATACCTCACATCCAATCAATCACCAAGTCTTTGAATAATTATCTTCTAGGTATCTTTCTGATCAGTCCACTTTTTCTTCCTCCCCACTGCCATTGCTCTTAAGTCAGCATCCTTGGTTTTTTGAACAAGTTTCTGCTATCTCTGCTCTTATGTATGCTTGACTCCTCTTTCCCCCATGCCTAACCCACTCATCTCAAAAGTGTAATATGTCTTTCCTGAAATGTAAGTTTCGTCATTTAGAATCCATTAGTAGCTTACTAGCACTTTGAAGATGAAAATCCAAAATTCTTTTAGCAAGGTGTATAGGCCTACCCTATTGAGAAAGATTTTGAATCTTCATATTTGAAAGATACTTTTGCTGGGTATAAAATTCTAGGTTTAAAGATGTGGTTGTGCTGTTACCTCCTGGGTTGCATTGTTTCTGACAAGAAGTCTACAGTCACTCTAATCTTTGCTCCTCTGTAAGTGTCTTTTTTTTTTTTTTTTTTTTAACTCTGGCTACTTTTAAGATTTTTATCTTTACCATTGAATTTGTGCAATTCAATTATAGTGTACATTGGTTTAGTTTTCTTCATGTGTTCTGTGCTTGGGGTTTGTTGAACTTATTGGATCTTTGGTTTTGTAATTTTCATATTATTTTATATAGAGTTTTCTATTTTCATATAAAATTTGGAAACATTTTTGCTATTCCTTAAAATAAATTTTCTATAGTCTACTCTTACCTACTTCCTTCTGGGACTCAAATTTACATGTATATTAGACTGCTTGAAGTTGTTCCTCAACTCACTGATGCTTTATATGTTTGTCCAGCCTTATGTTTGTTTTAATTTTGGATGATTTCGTTTGCTGTGCCTTCAAGTTTGCTTTTTTGCACTGATATGCTATTAATCCCATCCTATGCATTTTTCATCTCTAGAAGTTTGATTTTGGTCTTTTTTATATCTTCCATGTCTCTCTTTAACATGAGTATTCTTTTCTCTACCTCATGTAACATAATACATTTATAATAGGAATAGTATATAAGGATATTAAAACAGTTATTGTGTCACTTCCCCCCCCCCCATTTTGGGTCATTTTCCTGCTGTTTTGCATGCCTGGTAATTTTTTATTGGCTATGAATTTTATACTGTTGGTGTTTGTGTGTATGTATGTATTCTTCTTGGTAGTCTTTTAAATATTCTTGAGACTTTGTTTTGGAACACTGTAAAGTTATTGGAAATAGTCTGATTATTTCAAGGCTTGCTTTTAAGCTTTGTTAGGTGGGCAAGAGCAGCCTTTAGTTTTTCTCCGTTCACTGAAGCAATATCCTTCTGAGTACTCTACCTGATGCTCTGTTCATTATGAGGTTTTTTCTTTGGCTGTAGTAGCGTGAACTATTCCCAGACTTGTGTGAACTTCTGGAATTTTTCTGCCTGCTTCTTGGAGGTTCTTAACCTGTTCTTGGGTATTCCCTCATATGCTTGTGCGGATCAATATTCAGCTAAAGACTTGAAAGGAGCCCTCTGCATGTCTCTGGAACCCTCCCTTCTCTGTGCAGCTGCATTCTCTCTGGTACTCCTACTTATAAATTCTAGACCCCAGGCCTTCTCCAAATTCTCAATTCTGTCTCCTCAACTCAGCAAGACTACTTGGTTCTTTTTGGGTTCTCCCTTTTTGCACCACAGCCTAGAAACTGCCTCCTTGTAAAACTGCTTGAATGAAATAATTTGGAGCGGTTATGGGACTCACCTTGTTTAATTCTACTATCCTGTGCTGCCTGGTGTCTAATATCTAAAATCCATTTTTTCGTATTTTTAAAATTGTTTTTCAGTTGTTTGAAATTTGAAGAGTAAAACAACTCTTCATTACCTTAGTAAGTGAGTTTCTCCAGTTGCTCAGGCCGAAAGCTCCATATCTAATCTACTACCATGTCATGCCAGTTCTGCATTTCCACAGCTACTAGGTTAAGCCTCCTTCACTCTCACCTGGACTACTGTGTGACCCACTGGTCTGTTTCCATTCTTGTCTCCTACAGTTGGTTTTTCATAGCCACATGAATGAGCTTCAAAATTTGGAAACTAACATTGTTCCTACTTAAACCTTTCCTGGCTTTCTCTTTGGTGGCCTCCAAGGCCCTTCATTATCATGCTTGCCTTGCTTTCCAGCTTTACCTCCTTTATAGCCTCACTCCTTTACCTCACCACCACACTGACCTCCCTCTGCTCTTCTATTAGTCTAATTATTCTATTATTCTGCTCTTCTATTATTCTTTCTCATATCAGGCTTGTGCAAGCTTGTTTCATCTGCCTGGAATGTATTTTCTTAGGTTTATCTCTGGCTGGCTGCTGCTTATCTCTCAGCTGTCAGCTGTCAGTTCCTTAGAGGGCCTTCTCTCATGACCCTAATTAAAGTAGTTACCCATTTTATCCATTATCAGTTATACCGCCTTGTTAATTTCCTTCATGGCACTTACCACAATTTTATCGTGTTTATTTTTTGACTGTCTGTCTCCTTTCCCACTAGAGTGTAAGTCCCTTGAAGGCAGAGACTTTTTCTTGTCCCCAGAACATATAATAGGTGTTCAATAAAAATGTGTTGAATGAAGAATAGACCTCAAGTAATTTACCATTCATGTAGTTTTTTTTCTGTTAGGATAGAGGGTTGTACATTTGATTCTTGAACAATGCAGGGGTTAGGGGCATCATCCTCCTGTCCTGTCGAAAATTCATGTATAACTTTGATGCCCCCAAAACTTAATAGCCTACAGTTGACTGGGAGTCTTGCCAGTAACACAAACAATCAACACATTTTGTGTGTTATTTGTATTATATACTGTATTCTTAAAGTGAGCTAGAAAAAAGGTAAATGTTATAAAGAAAATCCTAAGAAAGAGAAAACGTATTTCCTCTTCACTAAGTAGAAGTGGATCATCATGAAAGTCTTCCTCTTTGTCATCTTCACATGGAGTAGACTGAGGAGGAGGAGGAGGGGTTGGTCTTGCTGACTCGGGGTGGCAGAGGTGGAAGGGGATGCACAAGAGGCAGTCACACTTGGTCTAAATCCACAGAAATACATTTTAATCTGTCTGACTTTTTGCTTTTTTCATTTCTCTAAAAATGTTTCTATATGGTACCAATCCTTCTACTGTTTGCTTTAGTTTCAGTGTCCATATCATAGAAGAGGCCATGTTGTAAAAGAAGTCAAAAGCAGCCTTGAATAATTGGAACCCTTCTGCCAGATTGTCTTACATCAGCTTGTTCTTTGGCATTGCTTCTAAGTTTTCTTCCTTATCATCTTGCACTGCTTTGGAATCACTCATCTCCATCAACAAGTCATCTGTTAATTCCTGCGGTGTGGTGTTTATTAGCTCTTGAATTTCTCTTGAAACCCTTCACACCCCACCTTTTTGCCACATCCACAATCTCTTTCATGACTTCCTTGACTGACTCTTTTGTACATCTTATGAAGTTATGACAATATCTGCATAGTTTTCTCCAGCCAGAATTTAGTGTTTGGGCTTGATGATGGCATCTTCAGTGACATGGCATAATCATTCCTTCCAGACTTGCATAATGTTCTCTCTTGGGCTTCTCTTTCACAGCATTGACAGTCCTTTCCAGAGTACTGTGTGTAATAGATCTAAAAAGTCCTTATGACCCCCTTATTCCTGAATTAAAGATGTTGTGTTTGGGAGCACAGAGACCATTTCATTGCCTTGGTGTTGAATTTATGGGGTTTTAGGTGGTCAGGGGCATTCTCCAGTATCAAAAGAACTTTAAAAGGTAGTGTCTTACTAGCAAGGTACTTCCTGACTTTAGGGACAAAGCATTGACAGAACCAATCCAGGAAAAGGGTTCTCATTGTCTAGGACTTCTTGGTATACAACCAAAAGACTGGCAGCTGGTGTTTTTTATTTTTATTTTTATTTTTTCTTCAAGGCTCAGGGGTTAGCAGCTTTACAGATATGTGTAGTCCTGATTGCAAACACAACAGCATTTGCACAGTGTTAGCTTACCCTTTCCTGCCTAAATCGTGGTGCTTGCTTCTCTTTCTAATAAATTTCCTTTGTGGCATTGTTTCCCAGAATAGGCACTTTCTACTGCATTAAAAACCTGTTAAGGCAGATTTCTTTTCTTCTCATTTATCTTCTGAATGGCATCTGTGAACTTGTCTGCTGCTTCTTAGCAAAGCTACTTTCCTTTTGCTTTAAATTGTCATATGACTTTGCTTTTTCTTGAATCACATTGGAATCTATAGATCTGCCTTAGAGCACTCCTGCACTCACATGAAGCTGCATTTTAAGTGCAAGTTAAAAAGCTATTTCACAAAAAGTGTAAGGTTTTCATGCCTGGTGGCATAACTGCAGCAAAAGCTTCATGAGTTTTCTTTTCTTTTTGCTTTCCTTTCTCTTTCCTTCTTTCTTTTTTTCTTTTTTTACAATGGTCCTTATGCTGGACTCATTTATCTTGAAATGGTGGGCAACCACAGACCCCAATCTATGGTATGTAAGCAATTCAACTTTTTCTTCTAATGTCGTGACTCCTCTGTGCTTCTTGGGAGCACTTCTATCACTAGTGGTACTTCTTATGGGTCTTGCAGTTTTTATGTCCTCAAGGTTTACAGTATTGCACTAATCACGAAAAATATGCAGGAACCGCAAGGGATCACTTTTTACTGTGATCCACGGTTTATGAAGAGATGAACTGCCCACACAGAGATGGTTAGCATCACATGGTGTTTTAAACAGACCTTTCGACACTTGAGTTCACCACAATAGCAACAGGAGGTAACTACAAAATAATTATAGTAGCTCAGCATGTACTACAGTTAATTTTATGCAGTTATGATTTAATACTGTATCTTTGTTTACATTTCTCTCAACTGTGAATGGTGCCATGTACAGTTTGTGTTTGTATGTTTTTATAAATTTTAACTTCTTATAATAGATTTGTGTGTATTTTATAGTAAATGATAAAATAGGCTAGTATCTACATACCATTTTAATTTTTCTGTATTTCTAGGCTACATGGTTTCTTTTTTCAAATTGTCATAAATCTCAAAAAAATTTTCCAATATACTTACAGAAAAAAAAACCTGTATATAAGTGGACCCACACTGTTCAAACCCATGTTGTCCAAGAATTGACTGTAATTTCATGGTTCTCCCACCTTCAGTGCTTCATTTATCCCTGTATAGTAATTTCTAGGAACTTGGGCTTTTGTTTTGATTTCAAAAAAGAAATGAGATTTTGGTGTTAATTACTTGTTACTGAGAAATTAAACCAAGATGTAAAAACAATTAGATTAGGCCATTCACACATTTAGTTGGAATAGTAATAACCATAGAAGGGTAAGAAAAATACCTGTTGACTGAATTTTATAATCTGCAGTTGGGAAAAATTCTCTCTCTGAAAGTTGGGTGTATAATATGCAGCAGGGGTCCCCAGCCACCCACACCCCCCACTGGCCAAACAGCAGGAGGTAAGCTGCAGGGGAGAGTGAAGCTTCATCTGTATTTACAGCTGCTCACACTGCTTGCATTACTACCTGAGCTCCATCTCTGTCAGATCAGCAGCAGCATTGGATTCTTAGAGGAGCGCAAACCCTATTGTGGACTGTGCATGTGAGGATCTAGGCTGCGTGTTCCTTATGAGAATCTAATGCCTGATGATCTGTCACTGTCTCCCGTCACTTCCAGATGGGACGTCTAGTTGCAAGAAAACAAGCTCGGGGCTACCACTGATTCTACATTATGGTGAGTTGTATAATTATTTCATTATATATTACAATGAAATGATAATAGAAATAAAGTGCACAGTAAATGTAATGCACTTGAATCATCCTGAAACCATCCCCTCCCTGCACCCCCTCCCCCTGCCCCCAGGTCCGTGGAAAACTTGCTTCCCATGAAATCACTCTCTGGTGCCAAAAAGGTTGGGGACCGCTGATCTACAGACTTTCTAAATATGTACAATATGACCTGTGTATAATATAAACACTTTGAGAAGTTAAATAACCAAATAATTGCCTCACTGGAGTATGGTTCTGACTTTCAAAGACAGGTAGAAAAATTCTAAATACCAGGATGTCTCACAAAGTATGAGTTTGTTTTTATTTTAGGTTCATTTTATTTAGAGGCAAGTGGACCTATGCAATATAAAAATAACCTTTCAAATTAATGAAATTTATGTTTGAAAACTTTTAGATCTACACACTTATAATAGGCTAGATGAGCTTCTCTCCCAAATACAGTGTGTCACTTGGGAATATCAAGTTAATTCATTAAACCTAATCTATTCATGTACTGGCTAGTTTAGTAATCTGTTACTCCCTGCAGTTATGGGGACCCATGTTGAATAGTGAAGTGTGAGTTTCACAAATGTGCAATAATTCTGTACCTTTCCTGCAGCATATCCTGAGCCTATAAGGTATAACAGGGTATTACTCTAGTTAATAAATGGTTGTCTTTTATTTTTCTATTTTTTTTTTTTTTTAATTTTTTTGAGACGGAGTCTCACTCTGTCACCCAGGCTGGAGTGCAGTGGCACAATCTTGGCTCACTGCAACCTCCACCTCCCAGGTTCAAGCAATTCTCCTGCCTCAGCCTCCTGAGTAACTGTGACTACAGGTGTGTGCAACCACGCTTGGCTAATTTTTTGTATTTTTAGTAGAGACGGGGTTTCACTGTGTTAGCCAGGATGGTCTCGATCTCCTGACCTCATGATCCACCTGCCTTGGCCTCCCAAAGTGTTGGGATTACAGGCGTGAGCCACCATGCCCAGCCAGTTATCTTTTATTAATGGCAAAATATGTCTCTTGATTTGTGTATTTGCTAATAGTTAAGCTTTACTTGAATGCAATATTGCAAAATACCCACAGGATTATTTGTCAAAATATAGGTTTAGGCTAAATTAAAGCTCTTGGCTATGTTTTCCTATTTTAATGTATAAATGAGAAAGATTCAGGGTTTTCTATTAAATAGAATTCTTTTTTTTTTTTTTTTTTTAAGACAGAGTCTTGCTCTGTCACCAGGCTGGAGTGCAGCGCCACAATCTCAGCTCACTGCAACCTCTGCCTCCTGGGTTTAAGCGATTCCCCTGCCTCAGCCTCCCAAGTAGCTGGGATTACAGGCATGCACCACCACACCTGGATAATTTTTTGTATTTTAGTAGAAATGGGGTTTCACCATGTTGACCAAGATGGTCTTGATCTCTTGATCTCCTGATCCACCCACCTCAGCCTCCCAAAGTGCTGGAATTACAGGTGTGAGTCACCGCGCCTGTCCAGAATTCTCTTTATAAGCCTTCATACTCCCTTCTTATACTACTAAAAAAAAAAAAAAAGTTCTTTTTTGGCTGGGCGCAGTGGCTCACACCTGTAATCCCTGCACTTTGGTAAGCTGAGGTGGGCGGATCACATGAGGTCAGGGGCTTGAGACCAGCCTGGCCAACATGGTGAAAACCCATCTCTACCAAGAAGTACAAAAATTAGCCAGGTGTGGTAGTGCGCACCTGTAGTCCTAGCTACTGGGGAGGCTGAGGTGGGAGAATTGCTTGAACCCAGAAGGCAGAGGTTGCAGTGAGCCAAGATCGCACCAC